CTATAGTTCAAACTGAAATATTTTGTTGGTACTTTAACACCCACCGGCTATCTTAACATTCTGAAAGCCGCTGGGATAAGAGCACAGCACCCCATATATGGGTCACCACATCGTAAACACACTTTAATGTCCTGCCAGCCATATTTTCAACTTTAAACATCACATAAAGCACTTTCGGCCGAATAACAAAAAGCAGTAAAAAGGGAAAATGACATGCAGAACAAGGTCAGCAGAGGAACTGGAACTCCAGGGCCAGAAGTCCAAGCCCAAGCCAAAAACCCGAGGACCGATGGCCAATATATCACATGACGCCTACAATTTAAACTGCCAAAAAAATGAAATGCAAACTGGGCGAACGAAGAGAAATGGCAAACATTTATATAAATAACACCATCGACTCCAATTAAAGCAGTTTGCTCGATGGGATGAGTGGTGTGGGTGGATGTGGATGGTATTGTAGGGTATGATAGGGATGGTATAGGGAGGGGTCTGTTGTGGGAGAAGCTGCTCCGTTGTCTGTGCGTGATAAAAACCACAAAACGAATTTTTGTTTATGTGTGAGCCAGTGTGTGTGTAATAAAAATGCAAAACAAAAGCGCTCAAATATGTTTGTAGTCTTGCTTTTTTTCGCAGTGCGAACTCCCAAGGGTTGCCAGCGTGGGCGTGGCACTTGCAGCGCTAAAAGGGGCGGTGGACGGTGGTGGGTGGTGGGTGTGGCGGGAACTGGGACAACCAAACCACTTCCAAATGTCATTCGCAGGCGAAGCAATGACGTACCGATGAGAAAACGCAGGATGGGGACTTCAGGAAGAGTGAAACGGACAGAGATAAAGTTCTTTGGGTATCAGTATCCGAAGTGTATTTACACTCTAATAATGATAATCGGATACTCGACTTTAGCCTTTTGATATCCTAACTTATTATTAGTCTCAATGGAAGATTATTAAGAAACTATAAGGCTTCCAACATTTAAAACATTTTAAATGTACTTGGCACAAAACACATATGTACATAGGCGTTTAGGTTTTAATATTAATCGAATATTTTAATACCATTGTATTAATAATAATACCATATTTAATATGTCACAAAATACCAAAGCAAAAAAAATGGGACATATTGAACATTTATAAAATAAAGCATTCATTTTTAAGACAAAAAAAATGCAAGCATTTTTGTTAATATTAAATTTTAAAAACGTTATAGCCTTTACTTTATTAAATTTCAATTTTTTTTGCAACTTCCTTAAATTTTTTTAACATTTGAAGAAATGATTTATCACTAAATTTGATAAGATGTTTAGGCTTTAAATATTAAATATCTCTAAGAACAACATAAATTATTTTTTTTTAAATTTTGCAACGGTTGTCTTAAATAAGTTCTTTATAAGTTTCGGCTGCGTTCAAGAAATGCAAGTCCTAATTTCTCGAATAGAAGCCAGCTCCCCTATTTCGCTTCAAGTGTTCCGGCAACTTTTGATTATCTTTCCACTGCAATCACATACTCCACATGCCCGACTTCCTTGCAGTATTACGAGTATATGCAAAACGCTGCAAAGAGCGAGCGCGGCCAACAAGAAATGTTGCAGCAACATTTGGCAGCAAGTGGAGGGCGAGTCGAGGAAATAATAATTTATGCATGCGTTGCGGTAGCTCGATGGCGATGTTGGTAAGAGGGGTTTTTGAGGGGAGCACTAAAGGGGGATATGCACCCCAGAAACCGCAAAATGTTTCGCCTTGTTGTTGCAATTGTTGGCAGCGCGCAAAAAAGTGAATCTGAGCTGCAGACGCTGCCGCTTCAGCTGCAACCGGAAAACGGAAATTGTGGCCAGTTCCCCCTGCCAACCCCTCGATTGCATCCTCAATCCAGGAAAACCACACAGCTCCCAACGCTCTCAAGGATTTATGATCGGGCCGCCGTTTAAGTCGCGCCAATCTGCCGACTTTGCCTTTATTTTAATACACTCGCAGGCGGTTTTTGTCGCTTTCAAATCGCATGCAAGTCGCACCCAAAAAAAACAATTTGCAATTAAATGCTTTCTAGTTGCAAATTTGCCAGGCCATGGTAGTCCAAAAAAAATAGCGACAACTAAGCCCAACTGATGCTAACCGCTATCCCCTTGAAAGTCTGGTTATTGTGGTTTTGAAGTGTGGTTCTTAACGAACTAACTTTGTTGATTTTATTTTTGTATCTCATATTTAGTTTCAAATGGCAACACATTAAATTTTAGATTTTTATTGTACACAATAAACAAATGCTTTTATCAGAATATTTTTTTGGAGATTATGACACTTAATTTATGTATGTTTTTATGCATTTGAATAATTTATAACTCTATATTAACTTATACTTTCACATAAAATGTTATTATTTCTATTCTGACTATTTCCATGATTTGATTTCTCCACTCATAAATTATTTAATGCATTAATGGAACATACTGTACTTGTTTTACAACCCTTTTGTGTAATTTTCTATGGCATAAAACACTGCTTGCCAAGGGGAAAAACTGTACCCCCATAATCGAAACAATTTAGAGCCCGCACAAGCCAATCGCAAAAAAACAGAAAACGCTTCGGATTTTATAGAAAAGTTGGAAACGAAAATCAAGCATATGAGTTTAATTGCCTAAACAATTCTAATCAAGCTGTGCGGCCATCAAAGCCATCAAAAGGACACAAAAGGAGGAAAATTGCTGATTGCATTTAATAAAAATATAATGTTGCCGCAATCGAACCACGAATTTCCACCACCGATCTGAACAGAGCAAAAAAAAATAGAAAACATACTGAGGAGGAAATGGCTTTCGAATGGACATCAAAATGGAATCAAATCGAGGCCGAAATGAATGCGAAACGCAAAACTCACGACGACAATGCGAACTTAATTTCTGTCATAGAAAACATGAAAAGGAGCAGCGGCCAGAGTGGCAGGAAAATTGACATATTGACAGCTAGACAAAAGGTCCACCCCAAAAAAAAGTGGGCTGGGATCGGAGTTTGGGTTGCGGATGCGGATGGCGCACTGCAGTTTGATGGCGGCGTCGAAAATAAACAAACATTGCGAGGGCAATAAAATATCAAAACAAGCCAAGAGCAGCGGGCTTGGAGGTGGGCTGTGTGGCAACGACTGTGGCTTAATTGAGGCAACAGAAGGCCGTACAAAAATCCAATCAAAACGCAATGAAAACAAGGATCAAGGAGCGGGGGCACAACCTCCCATTGTACCGGGCAGCTGTAAGCCTCAACTCGGTGTGTGTTGATGTTATCCTGGCAAATAATCAAACTCGCACACACAGAAACCAACTAAACAAGCCAACAAGGACCTTGTCAAGGAGACATGTAAGCGATACAAATGGAGATACTACTAGCCTATACATAGACCAGTACAATTGCCGCACGAATCCTGACTGAATCCTTTCAAGGCTGCAGTTCCATTCCAGTTCCACTCTCGGTTGCAGTTGCAATCTCCATCCAGGCAACTGGGTTCAGTGGAGCGTGCGGCATTCACCCCTGTTGAAAGTACCCCTGACCTAATCCAATTCCGGGCACAACAGATAAATCCTGTTTTTGTTTTCGCTTACCTCTGCGCCGATCTGGTGGCATTATTAAAGCCGAGAAAGGAAAACACACACAGCCGATAAGTATTTATTTAAATTGAATTTTCCACTTAGGGATAGTATAGTATTTGCGGATCTTGATCAGAGATGAGGCCAGAGTTGTAGGAGATAGCGGTTAACCATTATTTTGGTTAGGATAAGGCATTTTCAAGGGCCAAACAAAATATGATAAGCTACACTGATCAAAAAACATAATATACTCACTAATTTTATGTGCAGTCGAAAATGTTCGCCTTGATTTTAATCCAATTTAGTCTTATAAGTTTAAATATGGAAATATTATGTTTAACAATTTGGTTTTAATATTTTTAAATTCGTTCAAGACCTTTAATTTGTCATGTTTTGCACATGCATTTAATTTAAATATTTATTACGAAATTTTAAATTCAATAAGAAGATATTTAATTTACTTATTTTCATAAATTTTAAATATTTTTATTTTATGGAAGAATATGGTTTTTTAACCTCTTTCATTTGACTGGCTTTCCTTATACTTTTAAACTACCTCTAAATTTCAAAGGATTCTTGATCTGGCGCCACACAAACCACGAAGTCCCCCCAAAGCCCTTAAGCCATTAATAAACACATCTTCCCCCATTTCCGTAGCCAAGAATAATGCCTTCCTCCTCTCAACTAATTTTATGGTTTGCCCATCAAGCAAAGCCATGAACACCCCGATCTGAACTACACCAGGCCAATCAAACCTCATGACCTCCCCTCGCATAAAAGCCGCCAAATGTTTGGCGTATAAAAACAAATAAGACAAGGCACACATAAACCACGCCCCCGACGCCCCCGAGATGATCAACGCCGGGAAATTTGTTTGCGTGTTATGTAAATTGCACACAAGAGGAAAAACAGGCCTGGATGGATACATTATGTAAATAAAAGAAATAATAAGCTCACACGGATCCAGAGACAAAGACCAGGGTAAAATGCGAGCTTGTATGTTTATTATTTTCATGATGCGTTGATGACATTTTGGGTATGGGGTTCTATCACTTTAAGGATGTGTCGGAAGAAACTGTCATCTTTGTTGCTCCCGCTTTTATTTTATATTTACCATTCGACATCAAACGGTGTGCTATTTCTAGCTCAATTTTAGGTAGTTATAGGAAGTAAGGCTCACACAATAGATCAAGGTTTTATTGCTAATCTAAAAAAAGACATAATAGCTCTAAGCCTAAGATCGTAGTCCATCACCATAAAAGATTAAGAATGTAATACAGTTAAGATAAAATTATGTAAATTTAAGAACTTATTTGTGAAGAACCGTTCTTGAAATTATAGAAGTAGTACTCTTGAAGTAATACCCCAGAACCTAAAGATTAAGTAGGCTGCTCCAGAGTTTAAAAAAACTTCAAATATCTAAGTACACTGAAACGTTTTGTACAATAAGTTTATAACACACGACTTTTATACTTAAATAGAGGAACGCTCAAAATTATTTAGAGTCGGATTCACTCAAAATTATACCAATAACCCAATATACAAACCAATTCGAGGAGGATCCAGTAAAACAATATGAGTGCCTTAATGCACCTCCTTCGCACTTACTTCCCCAAGTGGTGTCTTCCGCGTGCCGATCGTCACGCGCAGAAGCACCTGCAGCACCACATTTTCCGGCAGCTCCAGACGAACCACCCAACCACCGCACTGGTGGCCATCAAGCCCACTGAACAGGTGCTGCCCAAGTGCAGGTTCATGCAGTACCGGCGGGCCAATGAGCACCTGAAGCGATTGGGCATGGTCTCCGAGGATGGCAACAAGATGGTGGAGCTGTCGAGCGTCACCTGTGCGGCTGCCAATATGATGGACTTCATCCAGCAGAGGTACTGCATGGTCAGCCTGCTGGATAGCGTGCAATACATGACGGTCGAGGATGTGGACGCCGTGGATCTGCGCCTGCTGCCGCCCATCGAATCACCCGGCAAGATCATCGGCATCGACTGCAACTACGTGGACAACTGCGATGAGCAGCACATCTCCATCCCCAGGGAACCGAGCTTCCATGTCAAGTTCGCCACCTCGATCACCGGCGCCTTGGACAACATCAAGGCCCACAGTTTGGTCAAACACATTGACTATGGCTGCCAGTTGGCCGTGGTCATGGGCAAAAAGTGCCGGGAGGTGTCGACCAAAGAGGCCCTGAATCACGTGTTCGGATTCATGGTGGTCCAGGACATTGTGGCTCGTGATTGGAACGCCCTACTCGGTGGTCACTCGATGGATACTTTCCTTCCTTTGGGACCCACGATCGTTCACCGGTGTCATGTGCCCGACATCAATAACCTGTGGATCAAGACGATTGTCAATGGGGAGGAGCGCCAGACGGGCAATACCCGAAATATGATATTCAAGATCGACTTCCTTATACACCGCCTATCCCACTATTTGACTCTCTGTCCGGGCGACATCATACTCACGGGCACGCCTGCCGGAGCGGGCGCCTATCGTCAACCGTCGTGCTTTCTGAAGCCCGGCGATCTTATTGAGAGCGAAATTCAAAATTTAGGCAGAATGTGCAATAAAGTCGTAAATCCTTATTCTTAAAACATCGCTTTCACTTCACAAGAGAATAGTTTTTAATCTAAACTCCAAATCATACACCCGAAAAAATTAAGAAGTACCGTTCTTGAAATCAGGAAGAAATTGCTCTTGAGCTGGTTTTTTAAAATGAAGCGTTTTCGAAGTAAGGACGAAAAAATATAGATTTTAGAGACGATTTTATCTAACTATTCTATTATAGAAAGAAAATATTCCTAGAAAAATTGTACATTTGTCTTGAAAAGTGTGTATATAAAGGATACACACGCGAAATGGTTTAAAGCGAACTGTACCAAATAAAATGGCCTTGAAGAAAATGTGTCATCAAGGAGTAAAATCAATACAAACCTCATATAGATCACATATATCCCCAAATTTGCCACAAACATTCCAGAATTCATATTATTGGACAATAAATTCGCGTTGAAGCCCCAGCAAGCGAGAACCCAGATAACCAAGTCAGAAGGAAGCTTCTGGTGGGATCCTAATATGCAGTCCGGGAGTGATGGAAGCGGGAGAATCATTTTGTAATATAATTTGTTTTGCTCGATGGTTTTGCAGGAGGAGCTGCCACGAAGATTGGGTGATGGTTACACTTTTATGATACGCCCAAGCATAATCAACATTATCCTCAGAGAGTCACAAGCCGCAAACAAGGAGCCTACAAAGGCGGCAAGGGGGAATGCCCGCTGCGAAAGCCACGGCGCATTATCATCTCATTGCACAGGACTTAATCCTGCGGCAAGTTATTAAAGCGTAACGCGTTTCGTCCTTGTCCTTCGCTGCTGCTCCTCGGTTCCTTGGATCCTGCTCCCTTTTTATTGTTCGCGCTGCGCTTAACTTGTTTCGCATTGAAACAGGACCAAGGGATGGAATCGGGGAAATACGGAAAAATGGGGGTGTGACTGGGTCGGTAGGCGACGCCGCCTTAATGCTAAATGATCCAATATCCTGTTTCCTGCATTTGTGCTCTGCAGCAGCGTTAAAAGGTCCTTTGTGGCCTCCGCCCAGCCTCCGTTCGCTATTATTTGCCTTGGCCAACTTAAAGATGTTTTCCCCACCGAGCCAACTTTTCCCCTTCGCCGCCCCTCTCAATTATTTGCTTAGCAAAAAGCAAGATGGAATCGGCGGAAAATGTAGTAAGGGTACATAATTTTGTATCTTTTCTTTGCGCACGGCAACTTAAATAGAAGAATGTAAAGTTTTTAATTATGCAACTCAACGTTGTCGCATTGTGCGCAAAGTGAGCCTCCCATCTCGTCCCATTCCGTTTATTCCAACTAGTGAGCTGGCCAAAAACTTAAAATACACATAATTAGCCATAGTACTGGGATAGTTATATTTCCAGCCCCGTTTGCTTAGCGACAAAATTCCGCCACCCTCTCTCATTGTGTGAAGTGTGTATCTTTGGGATATCTTTTGGGCTTAGTCCCCCTCCATTTTTGCGACAAAAACTAGGCCAGTTTCTTTCCGAAAGTTGGTGTTTAGTTTGGCATGGACAACGACGCTGACAAAGACCTCGGTTAATTAAAGGAAAATATTAGTTTTCTTATAGTAACTACTAAATTAAGATGAAATGTAGACTGGCTAACTTGTATGTATATCCTTAAATCATTTAAAAACCTCAAAAATTAAAAAAAAAATTTAATAAAGAATTTTCTAAAACTATCTTTGTTTGCTGATGAATATTTTTTTTTTTTTTTATTATACCCAAGCACTGCCATACAAAATAAAAAAGTCAGTAAAGTCACCCTTTCTTTTACTTTCATTTGCAAAATTGGTACTCCACAATTCATACAGAACTATACTTACAACTTTAGGGAAATTTAATAAAACAAATTCGTAGCAGTTCTTCGAAAAATGTTCTCAAGACCAGGTAAAATAAAAACCGCATACAGTCAAAGGCAACCCTTTATAAACCAACTTTCCGCAAATGAATACCAAATATGAGTAAGATTAATTGAGATTCCTGGTCCTACAGCTCTTCGTCCTTTGGCTGTGGTCGCCTTTCGTTCGGCCTCCACCCATTCCGCCCGAGGAGCCATCAAGCTCCCAAGACCTGGACATCCCGGAAAGGATCGCCTCTGCTTTCTGCCCGAGGATTGGCTCAAAGGACCCGTGGGCATCGGGGTGTTGGCCTACGTCTGCTCCGGGGACTTCTGCGCCAGAGGGCACGACCACAGCGGACTATCTCTTGGTATCATGGAAGATGATTACTACAGCAGTGGATTGACACTCGGTATCTTTGCCGCCTTTGCTGTAATAAAGCTGCTTCCAGTGATCGCCAAGTGGACTGAAGGCGAGGTCCAAGTGAGTACAACTAAGATGTCCCACTAAGGAATGCTTAAAAACTCCGATCTGTGATTTAAACTGTCCGCTTAAATTACTTTTTCTAACTTTGTTGGTAATTTGCTTACTAAAATTGTACCCCATATTACAGAAAAACGAATCTGGCAACGTGGCTAAGTCAAAGGTCCTGTTAATATCGCCCCCACAGGAGAAGAAGATCTTGAACCAGGACAATACCAATTAAAGTTCCTTATAGGTTTTAATTTTTGTATTTAGTTTTTAAAACAATATCTACGTAAAATAGCTCCAAATATCGGTGTGTAAAGAGCTATTCTTAAATTTTGTGGAATAAAAAGTATTGGAATATGTACAACAATAATACATTGTAATGTCTTAACACCTAATAGATTACCATCACCATTTATACTGCTTTTACATTATTGAATAAAATATAGGTTTACCTACTTATCTTCAAGATTGCATGTAACAACATTTCCCATCATACAAAATTATAATCTCTGGCACATCTAAATAAGTATTTTGAAGAGTTTGTCATACATTTAAAGAAGCAAGGCCTTAACCTACCAAAAAATCTAGCATTCACAAGAAAGAAAGTAAGATTAGATGATGTAGCCCGACTCGTGTGTTTGCCACATTTTATCCCAGGCATGATATCGTCCGCTGAAGCCCACTTTTTTTAGATGGAAGCTCGGCTGGATGGGGGACAAACACATAAAATGTAACATGTCGTAATATTCACCACAAACAACGCCAACAACAGAGGAGAAACAACCCGAAGTCAAAACATGCCAGGGAACATGGCATTGAAAGCTGTTGCCAAACAAAATAGGGGAACCTTAAGGACCAGGAAGAGGCGGCCACAATGAACGGATGCCAAAGAGCGCAAAAAGAAAACAAATTTTCCACTCGTTTTTCCTCTGGCACGACATAATCTTTTTAACAATTTGTATTTGGGAATGCCGGCGGTGTGGATATGACACATATCCCGGGCAAAGTCAATGGCGAAGTATGCAGAAATTTGTTTTGTTTTTCGGCTCCTTTTTTCTGCTTTGTTATACATAATCCTTGAGAGGTGTGACATTTGTATGTATAAATTTCAACTTTGATCCGCAAAGGATAACCTTCGGGTGGCCAAAGCCAATTGCCAGGCACGAAATCTAAATAAACACAAATATTCACACAAAAACACAGAAACGGAAACGTAGTCCCAAAGAAAAATGTGGCCACGTTTCGTGTGCTCGAGATATGTGGTAGAACTCCTCGAGTTTCAGTCCTCCGACTCCTCCACACTTAAGTTGTCAAAATCAGCACAAGATTCCCTCTCGTGTGTGCTGGGAAAATGTTATTTTCTTTTCATTTAACTGTCATGTATTTTGCATTCACAAAAGCCAGCTCCTGTCGGTGCCAAATTGAATGCCCCCAAAGAGAAACACAACCTGCTTTGTTTACTCTGCATTTTCTGGCGTAGGTGTTGTGACATTTGACCGCCGCCGTCTGCGAAACATCGAAAGAAAATCCTGCTTGTTTTTATTCCATTTTTAGGGGACATTAATCACACCTTTTTGGGCATTCAAATGAGCAAATTGACAAGATGCGAAATTGAATTTCTGACACGAACAAAGAGTCTTTATGTGGAAAATTAAATGAATGGTCATTTGGCCATGAAGTTCAATTTAGGAGAAACTTAATATTAGAAATTCCTATTCTTAAAGCTACTATGGCGTTAAACTACATCATTTAAATTCCTTAAATAAATGATATAATTTAATACCTTTTAGAATTGCAAAGTAAACAGGATGTTCATTATATTTGATGAAATTATATTCTTATAATAATACTGTTTCCTCTTCTAAAACTTATTTCCCGAAAAATCAGGGTTTTTAATCCATGAACACTATTTAATTGTGTTTTCCAAATCCACCCTTTAATTATTAAAGTACTTGAATTTTCCCAACTATAATATTTACGTATAGAGTGACTCCTGTTTGTTCCATCTTGATATGAAAAACTTTTAAAAGGGCCTAAGTGATCTGTAATGGATTCAAGCACATCAGATCTCCCTCTGTGACAGCCATTAGGGAAGTAGATTTTCACAAAGCAACCTAAGCCCATCGCGTGCCTTTTTCCTATAACCCGAACCCCGTAGGACGACTATCCTAGGAAATCCTCTAACGCCCGATAATTATGTTGAATATTTCCTGCGATAATTGCTTGATTTGCACAATGTGTGTTGATGTTTTCATAATGGATGCTCTCGGGCATAAATTACAAGTTCCAAAGGGAAAGGACAGCTCTTTCTACGGCTGGCATGTGGTGAACAAATGTTGCATACAGCCCGGAGTCGAGTGGCAGATTGATAAGAGTTGTGGAAAGGGGGAGAACCGAGAGAGTCTGCAGGGGGAGAATTAACACATTTGCGTTCGATCAGGATAATGATGATGCTGGGGTGCTAACCATAACCCTAAGCTGGGATCAGGGTGGTTTTTTCCCCTCCCCTTCCAAATTTTCCTTAGGGTGTGCCAAACAGTGGCAGCTGCCGTTGCGCAGTTATGGAAAACCCATTTCCCTCAACGCATGCGTCAAACTAGATTTATGTTCGGATGCACTTTAATAATTTTCCACTCGCCATCGACGATTATATCTTTTTGTGTCCCGCATAGAGTGAAAAGTCCAGTTGGCCTACATTTTCAAGTGCATCAAGTACGAAATGCATTGACTCTGTCAATTTTAGAGCATTTGCAATTATTCTGCTAAAGAAATTTCCCAATAACAGATCATTATCAAGCTACCTTATGAGGGTGGACTGTCCTGCAATGTCAGCTGGCCAGTTGCGTTCAATGAGCCAGCTCGATTTCGATTTGTCCAGCATTTCCTGTACATAAATTGGATCGCCTCTGTCGCATAATGTGTGTCATAGAGATTAGAGTATTTATGGGTAGCAATAATTTTAGAAACTAATGTGCAATGGGTCAAGTTTCAACTGCTATGGGAAAATAACATTAAAGGAAGTCCGAAGTTATTCCATTTAATAAAATTGAATGTTAAATATCTTAAGCTGTTTGTATAAAAGCAAAAATGTACTTCATTATCTTATATTATTATTAATTGTATACAACGCTATAGTACAAATAAAAAGCTGCAAGATTACAGAGGTTTTCTTATGGAGCTATAGCAGCTAGTCGTTAAGCTTGATTATGTTATACATTTCAACCATTGGAGAATGATATTGACGGTTCAAGATTGTATGAAAAATAGCTTTGAAAAATGTGCACTGAATTTGCGTCCCTACAAATAATATGTCCATACAATCTTCAACCGCCGTCATAGTACTACCCATCCTAATAACTGCTTAAATTATAGTTAAGCATATATATTTTTCTTTAAAGTGCATATTACAATTCAAATTAATTGTAAGTACATTTTTTAAATTTTAATTTTAAAGTATAAGTAAGTTACACGTAGTGTACAAAATCGCAGGTCCGTTGAAACCCAATACTCCAAACAATATCGGTTCCCCAGGAAATCACTGCAACCAGTTGAGTGCGACTAAGTCCATTTAAGCAGTAATTAACTCCAGTCAACAAATCAAAGTAAAGCTGACCGAGTGATTTCAATTTTAATTGCCTTAACCCTTCATCATTCGCACCAGAAGCCCTCGGGACGCAGAGCTGGTTGAAAAAAATAGTGCTAAGACCTAAGCTTACTTAATGTGACCACTTTGAGCGGTGTCGACGGCACCGAGAGTTGCCTACTTAGCGGACATCGGGGAATATACTATATAGCGCGGAAAGGGACTGACAGCGATAGGAGGACTACTCCGTAATCGGCTTAAAGCAATAAATTGTTCATGGCCCGGCTGCAGTTTCTTCTCCTCCTCTCTCCCTATAAAAGTTTAACAAAATGGCCAACAAAATGCAGCGTTTTTGTCATCCTTCTTTCGCCTCTGCTATTTTGGTTTATTTTTTTTCACAATTTACCACAATGATTAATCACCCAAAAGGAGGCGTGCTCCCTTCCATCCTGTTGGTAATATAATATTTGTCATAGTTCATAATTTAGATATTTTTGTATCCAGAGGGGTTGAACAAAGCAGAGCGAAAAAAAAGAGAATAATAATATATTGCAGTCTGGTAAAAAACATCAACTGCATATGTTGCACACAGTTCAAGTGCAGTCGAGAGGGTTTTGGGGGTGGGAAATGGGGGGTACGAGGGTGCCGACGAGGCCGAGGGGTTGAGTTTGTTTGCGCACACTTTGTGTACAGTTGAGGGGTGACCACGATGATATATCCTGGTATATTTGCCCAGTATCACTATCGATGTATCGAGGTTTTTTGTTTGCCCAGAGGGTTGATTTAGTGCGGAACTGTCGCACTGGCAATTGTGCAGGTCAAGTTAGTAGGTGTTTCCCGGAGAATTTGTGGTTGCATTGAACGTGGTTAACCAAAAGGGTTGGGGTACTGCTCATCCAATCAAGGGAGGAAGGCAAATAGTGCACAGAAGGATAAGTAGCTTGAAATTAAAAAAGAGTCAAGATTTACTTTACATATGAACACAGGCATTTGTTAAAGGTTATAACATTGTTGTTTTATGATTAGCATTTAAATTAACCCCTGTTCTCATTATATTTTAATCTATTTAACGAGTAGCGGCTATACAAATAAGTGTTTGTTCATTTTAAATCTAAAAATCATTGATACTGAACTAATTCTAAAAACGTTCCTAAATTGTTGGAGTATCCTTCTTTTTTAAGTTAATTTAACTTTTGAACAAATACTTTTGAAATCCATACACTATTCTCAAATATTCACGATATTATTTTCCTAGAATGGTATACCTGCTTCAATAAAACCCTATTTTCCGAAAGTCATTGCAATGCGTTTGGCCATTCCCAATTATAATGCACCAAAGGTGATTTTCACACCTGGAGTTGGGGAATTAGAAAAGTCATCGAAATGCAGGTTTGCCCGATAACAAGACACACACGAAGCCAATTTCTTGGACAAAGGGGAAATTTGCTCGGCAAGGATAATAGGTGGATAATTTATTAGCCATGGACCAGCATGAAGTACCGAATGGATGCATGCTGAATGTTGGATGACAACTGCAAAACTGCAGTCAGATTGCCCAGATAGAGGAACGTATGTATGGATGCGGGCTGTACAGGAATGGGAGATTTGCCTGGGATATGGGATGCCAAACAACCGGACAAAGGACGAGTGTTTAGAGTAAACACAAAGGCGACCATAATACAATCATAATTGCATTTTTACAACAACCCGGGGAGAATGTGCCGGATTCCTAACTCCCAACTTCGGTTATT